GTGTTTTGTGGCAGAGACTCCACTGTAAAACACAGGCTCGGGTTTAAACCGTGTGGGGTTTTTTGTTTATACCGGTCTTTTTAGTGCACGCTTGACAATTCCACAAGCATTAAATATTGAGGTGGGTCTTTCTGTAATCCTTATTTTACCCTATTAACTAATTTGGAGATGGAGATGGGTTTTGTGTGAGGGTTTGTTTAAAGCCTCATTCTCTTTTTAAGTGTCGGTGTTTGTTTATTGTGCAGATTCAACCCCTGACCGTGGTATTCTTCATTGCTATTGAAAGTTAATGGGGGAAAAATTGCATTCCAAACATTTGAACCTGTAGTCGCCATGGCTGAACTTAGTTGATCTCTGGTGATCGGTTCAATTTAGTTACGATTTTTAGCCATTAGGCTGGGGCTGAATGATGGTGATTTGGTTGAGGCCAAATGTCTGTAGAAAATTGGCTGTTTGATAAGAGCCCTGTTATCAGAGGGGGATACTTTCTCATTTACATTTAGATGAGTATTGATTATTTATTTACTCAGAGAAGTGAGATTCGTTCCCAATCTTATCTCTCTCGTCTCTGCTTGTCAGCAGAAAGAGAGATAGAGCTCCTGACATCAGCCCAAGATAACAGCACTTTGTAGTGAAGATAAAAGTTGGAATGGGCCTTTTTCTAGTCTTGACTGAAAGGATAAGTTTTAAAAATTAGAACTGATGGGTCATGCTTTCAAAACCCCTTTCTGAAGGCTTTGCAGCTTAAATGGCAACAGAATTGGTTCGTTGTTATGCGGATGGCCGTTGCCTTTTGTAAGAGAGCTGCTTAATTTGATTATGTGGTGGGATTCTTCCTGGGGCACATCGCACTGTGCGGGGTAGCACTGGGGGTGTTTCCTTGTCTTTAATTCCTGATAAACCTTTTCGCTGTTTAAAGGGGCATCTCGAAGTAGCGGAGTACAGGGGGGGGTGTAGGCAGAAGCCGGGGTGCGGGGGGTTAAAGGGGGACTTTGGCAGGAGGGGGGCGTTGGGGTGCGCAGCCCCGGGTACCCCGCTCCCCCGCCGCTCCGTCCGCACAGCCCAGGTCCAGCAGAGCGGGATGGCTCGCGCCGGCGTGCGGACGCTCTGTCAGTGGAGCGGCCCAGGAGCGGCCCAGGAGGGCCTCAGGCCACCAGGTCTGGTGGAGGAGGGACCCAGCTCTCACCCTCCCTGGGGGCCCGAGCGGATCTCCCCTAGTTTTTGACCCCCATTCCGTGGCTCATTTCAGACAGCTGCTGCCTCGGTTCCCTCCTTCCTCCCGGACACGCGAGCACGTGTTTAACCCAGCAACAGTTTCCCTCTCTCCAAGTGCTTGTGACAAAACTCCGGAACTAGAAGAGGGGCTCGTGTTCATTAGCTTTGTCTCCTGGGGGTTTTGCCCCGGTAACTTCCATTTTAGCGTGCTCGCTCCCCGGTTGGTGGCGATTTACTCTGTCCCTGCTCCAGCGAGCAGTGCTGCGGGAGAGCTCTGCCTGGGGCGCGGGCCATGGCCGTCCGGGCCGGGACCTGTAAGGTTTGTTTTACAATTGCGTGGAGCGTTTGCATCAGATTACAGAAATCTATAAAATCCAGCTTTGGTGTTACCGCTTGAAATTTTGTGGAAATTCCCAGAGCAGTATTCTGTTAGGAGACCATTAAATTACCTAATATTTCTACTCCAGTGACATCATTTGAACTTGTGAGAGAAGTCTGGTAGTAAAACTCCTCCACAGCATCAGCCTAACATTTTTCATCTGTTGTGAAGTAAAGGTCGTGTAAATGTGTACAGATATTTAAAATATATTATTTAAGAGCAGATTCTCTCTAAAAATCCATTTACACTTTTAAAATCTATTTCTTAGTATTTTCTGTTTTAAAGGAGTTATTCATCAGAAGGTTGCCTTGGTTTCTGATCTGTAGCCGTATTTCATTGCTTTATTAGCAGGCAGTTAATACAGCCTCGACCCAAACCAGATAAAACAACTTACCTGATCACAGAATTCTCAGGTTGCCCCAGATAAAACTCCCCCTCTGACAGAGGCTGGCGTGGCGGGATGTGCCCGCGGGCGGCGGGAGCTTGTTCTGCAGCGGGAGGTTGTTCCCGAGGTGGGTGTTGACGTTCTGTTGGGTGGATCCAGCTGGTGGGATCGGATCCACGCCGAGGGATGGTTAATCACTGCCCAGATCCCGCTTTTAACCTTGTCCCCCGGTCATCACGTGCGCGTGTCCCTCGGAGCGGGAGGCTGTGGTGGGGTCGATGTCCCTCCTTGCCCCGTCCCAGGAGCCGCGGCGGAGCAGGGCGCAGCACCCGGGTCCCAGCTGGAGCCGCGCAGCAGCTCCTGTGCCGTGCTGAGCGAGTGAGAGAGAACGGTGTAAACAGAGACGGTGCAGCGGGATGGGTGAAGGTGTGACACTTCGGAGTGTTTCACGGGACGGGTCCACTCGGCTCCGACAGGCCTGTTCTCACGAGGACGCCCGGGGAGGTCCCGGGGAGGCTGGCGGGGCCGTGGCACCGCGCTCCGAGGCCCGCCCAGCCGTTACGGGTTCTGGGAAGGGCTCGTTTCACGTCTTTGCTCTGATTTTAAATGTTTTTGGGGCAGGCATGGGAAGCAGCAGGGAGCTGGGATGCAGCGGGGGGCGTCAGCAGGTCCCGGCCTGGGGAGGGGTGGAAGCGGAGGCTCCGGCTGGGGCTGGGGCAGGCGGGGATTGGTGCTGGGTACCAAGGGCACGGATGTTCGGGTGGGAGCTGGTGGCTCTGCTGGCTCAGTGCTTGCTGGGTGTCGCTCATGGGGCGGCGCTTTGGAACCTCTGGCAGGTGCTTCCGACAAACGGACCGAGCATCAGGTTTTGCTGTTACTGGTTCTAAACCTGCACCAGGCTTTAGATACAGATTGATTGGATATTTGTTTCGATTCAGTGTATTTTGCTTCTGCCTAACAAGCCAGGCCTGTGTGTGTTTATTTTTAATTTTCAGTCACATTGCCAGTAGCTGGGAAACGGTGGTGCTGTGTGTATTTGCCTCCCTGGTGTCTGTGCCGACAGGAGAGCTCCCCGCTGTCGGGAGCGTGGTTGGTTCTGCAAACGCCCCGAGCAGCCCCGCGTGCGGTTCCTGACGGAGGAGGGGAGGGAGCAGCCCTGCTCGCCTCCGCTGGGCTGCCAAGAGCCCGGCTCTGTGTCCGCCCTGAGTCGCCGGGAGTAGGGGAGCTCCATTTCACAGAGAAATAACGTTCCACTTCAGGAGCAGAAGGCGCTTGGGCCGTGCGGCGAGAGCTTCACGTGGCTTCTGGGGAGACAAAATGAGAAGCCGTAATTGAAATTCTGCTGTAGCAAATTTAAAATTAATTGGCTAACAAATTCCATTTCTTAGGCATGCCATCTGAGGCTAAAATACTTAATTTTTTTATGTGTTTTAAATATTTCAGCACATACTATCATAATTCAAAGTCAGGAAACATTCAGAAGTATTTTAAGTACTGATAAAGAGGGAATAGATTTCGTTATTTCAGGTCTAGTTCTTTTGTTACGTTACAACCTGGTTAAAGGCGCTTTACATCACTTAAATTTTTTCAGCACCTGTTTAGCGTTATTTAACTAAACTGTACAGAAATTACGCAGCTCAGAACTCGGTGTGCACTTGATCTCTCGGGTGCGGGTGGGAGGAGAGGTCACCCTGCACTGCTCGGGGGTGCAGCGAGGATGGGACCGCGTCCGTCTCCACCAGCTCCCGCCGTTGGAAGTGGCTTTTCCTTTTCCTCGGCCCGGGGTCCCCGGTGGAGTTTGGCTTACCCGAGCCACCCCCTCGCCCCGCCGGGTCCTCTCCCACCCGCTCTCCAGACAGCGGGCCCGGAGCTGGCTGATGGCGCCACACCTGGAATTGTGTTTAGTGTGTTCTTCTTCTTCAGCAAAGGAATAAAGATTAAGGATCCATTCATCTAATTTTTTTTTAATGGCCTAATTTTTGTAACAACAATTTTTTAATACATTTTCTGTAGTTGGAAAACGGGTTTTTTTTGGTAGTGTCATCTTTCCTTTGAGAAGAAGGAAGTTGGCACCTGAATCTTGAATATCTAAGTGCAGTGTATATAAAAATAATTCATTTGAAGCAACAGCATCTGTGCATGCTGATATTTGATGCAGTCCAATGTTGACAGTGTACGGATCCCTGGAAAAAGATAAAATCCATTTCTCGGTGTCCCTTTCTGCTCCGTGGAGCCGTTGAGCTGCTGGGTGATGCCGGAGCCCACCAGTCAGCCCGGCGGGCAGTGCCCACCGCTGCTGCTGTGTGGGGAGCTGCTCACCCCGTGCTTCAGCAGCCCGGCCCCGGGTGATGCCCCTGGGCAGAGGCAGAAATAGCCCAGCTGGGTGTCATGGGGCAAGACACAATTCGTAAAAGAAGGGCTGCGTTCCTTCCCCGGGATTTCTCAGCGCTCTGTGCAGACACCAAGGCTGCGGCAGCCGGGCTTCGCGTGGCTTTGCACACCCGGGGAGGGTGTGAGCGTGGGCCGGGCCCCGTCCCCGGCAAACAGCACCCAGGGTGACGGGCCCAGTGCTGGTCTTCAGTCCGTAAAGAGCCACCGAGGGTGCAGAGCGGCGGGGAGCGAACACGTTGTGCGTTTTCACGTCAGGAAGGGTGCCCAAAGAACGCAACGCAGGCACGCGCCGAGGTCTGGCAGGGGTTTCTTGGGCAACGCCCGGCCTTGCGGCAGGGGCAGGGTGTTCGACACAGGCTCACCGGGTGTAGGGATAACACGGCACCGCCGGACGGCCGGGGGTGGTCAGGCCACACTGTGAGATGGCTGAAGGTGACTGGAGGATGTTGTTGCCTCACTCAGCGTCCTCCACCTTTCTGCGACAGGGCCCTTCCCTTTGGCAAAGAGCTTTGAAACAGAAACGTCTACCTGCCTCGCTGCTAGGCTACGAGCAATCTCATGTTAGTTGAACGTGATAAGCCATCACTTTGTTAGAAAACAGATGATTTTACAAGTTACTTTATGTTTCAGGTCCTCAGTATCGGCTGGAGAAGCAGAGTGAACCTAATGTCCCAGTAGATTTAGACTGTACCTTGGAGAGCCAGAGCACTTTGGAATTCTGCCTTGTCCGGGAGAACAGTATGTTTCCCCTTTTCACTTTTGCTCTTGTAAACTGCTTAAACTCACATAAGTTATGTATTTTGGAATACAAGCTGTACTGTCTGGGCAAGTAAGTTTTGACGAGACTCTTCCCCGAGGCACTCCTCAGTTGTGCCAAAACAATATTCCAGAGGGAAATGATGGATTTCATACCTTCTGGTAAATAGTCTGCATCCTGTTTATCACTTCACGATTAATATTTCTCTATTAAACTCTGCCCTGTAAAGTTATGACCAACCCTGAAAAACACTGGAAATACGAAACTTTTTCTGTTGCAGGCATTGCTCAGTGAATAAAGCAATTGGTCTGCAGTATATTTTGCCATGTCAATACGCTGTTAAGAGGCACTGATTTTTTTTCTAATAGAATTTACAGAAATTTACCATGCAGACAGATATAACTAGAGCGGTTTGCTGAATTTTAAAATGCCAGACTCAAATATTTTTATTCTGTTACTGGTTTAATGGTCCTAATATTATTTCTTGATTTCTTTCTTTGCAAGGAATTATATGAAACTTTAAAAAAAAAAAAAAATCGTTGAACATTGGTTTGTGTTTGTGCTCCATAGCATTTTGGTCCATTCCAACAGCCATGCTCTCAGTTTTGGGGGTTTTGTCATTCCATTTTAATTCAGCTGTAAAAATGTTGAACGTACCGGTGAGGAAACCAGTAGCATTCACGCTCTCAGCCAAGACCACGCTCAGAGGGTTTGCTGTGAACAGTCATAGTAAGAGCCTGTTGCTAGCAGTAGAAGAGGTTTTTCTTTCTTTACAAAGATTAGCCCTTTCCATTTGGCATTCCCTGTTTTATCCTAGAAGAGAGCAGAGTGTCCCCGACGTACCTCCTCGTTCCAGTGGCCAGGGGTAGGCTCTGCTCCCGGGTGAGACGCAGCAGCCACGGGCTCTCTGGTGGGCACGTCAGTGCTGGAGCTGAGACGGAGCACTCTGTCTGGGCTGCCCTCTCCCCAGAGCGGGACTTGCTCCCAGAATAGTCTTGATGCTCCTCGTTCAGTTCTAAAAACTGGTTCTAAGAAACCGTAGGAAAGGATGAGGCAGAAGGCAGCCGGGGTGCTGGGTGTGAGGAAACGGAGCAATTTTAACCTCGATAATCAAGCTGTGCTCTTCCACAAGCCAGAATTCCCCAGCGTATGCATCCTGGATATTATTTTTGTATCGATTATTAATCTACAAAAAGATGCGGGCTGGTCATACTTTCATAGGTTTTGATTAAAAGTAATGTATTTTTAATCCAGGCTCAACAATTAAAAGTGTCCGGTATGTGCTGCATTTTTAACGTATACTCGTCCTCTGTGGAGGAATCACGCTGTGGGCTGTAGCTCTATCTACTGATGCTCTTAGCTGTCACGAGGGACCAGGTTCAGGCTGCACCATTACTTCAGTAGTAAATCTGTTGTAAGTGGTTTAGCAGGAGGCATTTGGTCTGCTCTGCATCAGTAGCAAATGCTCCAGGAGAGCCTCAGAGGCCTTGGCCTCAAAATAAATGTCAGTGGTGGTGTTGAGGGAACACTTTGCCCTTTCCCTGAAGTCCTGGTGCAGCGACGGCTCCTCCTCCCTCCAGGACGCAAAGGCAAGTTCCTCTGCGGGTGGGGGCGCGGGGGGGATC